GGGGTGTGCTCTGGGTTAGCAGACAGAGAAATAGGGGTTAATATTTTGTTCTGGTTAAAAAGGGTAAAACCTATGGGCCATAAAGCCATAAGTCAAATTTGGTGCCCACAAAGAGGAGGAGATCAGGCCCGTGGGCTCTACCCTAAAGAGGAAAGACAGAGCCATGTGGCACGAAGGACCGTATACCCTATAGAAAACACTTTAAGGTTGTAGCTTTTTTAATTAGCAGCAACAGCTCTAGTTTCTCAGTCCTTTGACCCAGTGTGCATTGCAAAATACTATTCAAACAGCAACTGATACATTAGCACCTTTTATAGCATTCAAAGACTGATTGTATTTCTCGGCCAATTGCGTCCATAAAGTTATTACCTCGGAAGTACGTGGGGCACCTTTGTCTTGCCACTTGCAATAAAGTCAGCGGGCCACACATGACCTCATCCCACTTTCCCTATTAGAGGCTTCGCTCTGCCTCCTCCGGAGCAGCACTGATGTCCTCGCTCTATGATTAGGCTATGACTTCAGAATGACAGTAACGCGGCTCGCCTTGCCGCTGCGCTGCTGAACGCGCGCGACAAGCAAAGTCGAATATCAATTTGGGAGGATGTGCTTAAGGAACTCTTATGCTAATAGGATTTGCGTGTGTTAGTCCATACAAATAAGTTCCCTTGGATACCACAGATTCTTGTGAAGCATTTCCCGACCCACGGTTTTGGTGGCACACCAAGCTAAATCTCTTCAAAACCAGGTCTCGTTACTTTCACCTTTACTGGGTAATCTGTCTTATTGATGTTATGCAAATGTACCCAAATTATTTAGATTCTTTTATTGACACTGCAGGTGAGTCAGGAGACCTAAGTTCTCCTCGTGGCTCTGCCATCGTGCGGCTGAGGGACCCTGGCACTCTCCTCCCCTGTGCTTCTCTTTTCCTATTTTTAAAATGGCAACGGGGGTACGACCCTTGGTGACACACTTTGAAGTCTGTAGAAGGAAAGCATGGATCGAAACTTTCCTGGTCTAATCTGTAGCATGTGTCTATCTGTATTTTAACAAATTCACATATAATCCGTCTTCCAGTGATAATTTAGTTGTAGAGTAGCAGCTGTTTAAATTCATCCATGCTTCATATGGGGTACTTGTGATCACAGACTTGAGTTTCCAGCTCATTATAGGGTGCTCCCAACCATTATGCAGCATATACTCTCCGTTTCTTTTGTCATTTTACCTAGTTTGTCCTTCAAAAGAGAGATTCTTCCCTACTGACACACTGTGGGTATCTTATCACGACAGCTGGTGACAGTAGTGCCAATAACATGAAGAGAAGTAGCAGAGTAGGAGTGACATCAGTTTACTCCAGCTGAGGACTTGGTCCGGTTATGACAGAAAATGATAAAGTCACAATCAAGATCAACGCAAGGATATTTTTTTTCTAGACAATTCTGGAGGCACCTTATTAATAATGTAAAGTCACAAAGCAAATTTCTAAAATAACCATGGAGATGACGCAATGCTGCAATTATGGACACTTTTAAAAACAAATGTCTTTGTTACGGTGGTCAGCAGTTCTCTTCCCGTAAGATAGCCACAATCAAAAACCAAGGTTTCAAAGCAAGATAGGCCAAAAACCTCCTCCTGCCTATCTCTCTTCAGGTGAAACATGGTTCAAGCCTGAACCTCTGATCAACCAGGGATGCCTTTGATAGAATAACCAGGGATGCCTTTGATAGAATCTGGAAATCAGATCTGGGCTCTGATGGACCACAGTACGAGGACCACAGTGGAGGCCTTTCCTCAGGTGCCCGAACAGCCCATTTTGCAGTGTCCAACCTGTGCGCAGGTAGTCGGCAGTAACTTTGCTCGTTGTGATAATCACAAGCCAAGGAGCAGCCATCCCAAATAATTGCCATAGGATATGCCCACATTTCATGGTATCCAGAGGACAGCACCATATTGGCATCACAGGGCAAATACAAATACAAAACTACGTCCTTTTGGCATAACTGAGCAGCACTGCCACTAGTAAATGAGACTTCCCAAGTAAAAACAACCCAAACTGTTTGGCTGCATCTCTACAAAGTGACATAACGAAGTGGAAACTCGTTTCAGTGCAGATCTGTGGAATGACAGGCCCTAGAGCCTTGTGGAAGCTGTCGTAGACCTTGCATGGGAGAGGGTGGAGGGGATCAGCCAAGGGCTGTGAAGGCACGTGATGGTCCCTGAAGAGTGTTACAGCAAAACTGGTTTCAATCAAGTTTTCCTCCTGGTCTTACTAAAATCCATCACTGGATGGATTTACACTGAAAAATGTTTCGGTACATTTTGATACCTTCAACCATCTGATATTACTCATACGAATAAGGAAAGCTGAAATCAAAACAAGAAACCAAAACATGGACAAACTGGTCTTAAAACTTGCAAGCGTAGCAGGCCAAGTCAGCACCTATGCATGTTGTGCACAATGCCTTTGACTCAGGGATCATTGCAGATCTGCCCAGATGTACACATTGAAACAGAAGATGCTCTTAGCTTTCCTTTTTACAATACACTGTTAGCTCTACACTGCTCTCTGGACTGAATTTAGAAGTGATTTCCATATATTAAAATAAACTTTTCTTCTATG